TAATTGGTTATAACTTAAGGATTAGATTATCCGTCTGTTCGCTGACAGTATCTCCCTGACAGGCACCTGGTAGATAGGGAGAGTACAGTGTAAGATTTAATATTATTTAAGTGTGCTAAGCTTGCTGTTCTTTCCAAGGGAGAGCAGATTGATGAAAAACAGGCATCAGTGATAGAGATTCATGTTGTAGTGATCCCCGTTAACCCCTTTGGGTTTCAAAAGATGCTGATTCTCTCCCTGTAACTTAGACTTCTCTAAAGGAAGAGAGGAAAGTTGAGAAACCTCTTAGGATTTCCTTTTGGAGGGAGTGGAACCTCAAAGTAAGTTCTGATGTCAGAGCTACCGATTTTCCGATGAGGTGCTGATTTCCCCCATAGTTCACTGAATCCTACTCCTCATCACTCGCTCTCCGGGAAAAGTTGGGCAGCATGGTAATTAGATCATTCTTTGGTATTAAAATAGGCACTCAGAGGAGAATTTATCTTCTCTAGGCTCTACTGTACTAGGAGTGCTGTAGTGTCCTCAGGAATCTTGTAGGAGAAGGTAGAAAAGTAGTTTGTACTTTTTTTTTTCTTTGACAGCCACAGGGGAGATAAGGGTGATTCTTTTGAAGACTGGGGTGGCGGGGGCTCTTATTCTGAGAACACTGATGTGTGTATATTAGATACTTGTTGTCTGTTGTCCATCTGTTATTCATCCATTGCCATCCGTCCATCCATCCATTCATCCATCCACTCATGTTTCCATCGATGTTCCCTCTACTATGTCTCAGTTGTTTTGCTGGGGGCTACAGTTGAATGCATATTTGAGGGAACTCAAGGGCTTTGCGTTTAGAGTGGATAAGATTTTAGCTCACCGAACCTAACTTTTCTAAATTTCTTCACTCTCTTCTTTAAATTAGTGTTTTGAAAGTAAAACGAGGCAGTGTTCTTCCTTCCCTTCTTTTGCATTCACCTTACTTACTCCACAAATATTGTTTGAGCTCCAACAACATGACAGGCACCTTACTAGGCAGTGGGAATGCAAAAGAGAGTGGAGATGCAAAAGCTTCTTCCCGTGGCTTTTAAAGTTTAAACTTGTATTTTAATTAAGGGGTATTTTGAAAATATATGAAAGATAGTGAAGGTGTAATTATATTGATACTCACAATTCAACTTAATTATGTAGCAGTCCCGTTATTATCCCTCAAATCGAAGACTTAATATGAATGACTGGATCGTTCCTTGCATACCTGACACTCGGTGCTTCTACGAGGCTGCTGTGAGTGACCACCGGGATCTGTCTGGTTGTAGATGAGACAGATCATAGGTGCTGGGCTGAGCTTGGGAACGCAGATTGAGGTAGCTTTGTGAATTGGTGTCTAAGTTTTCCCTCTGACCTCTTTCCCTTTGCTTCTGAGACTTTTGCTTATGGGCACACACGAAGCACTGTGATTTAGTAAAAAAAAAAACTATTATGATGCCAGGCTTCTTACTGAAACCTTGTGTTTATGGACTCTTGTTGCTTTATAGTCAAATCTGAATTCTATCTTGCCTTCAAAACTCTGTGTAATCTGACCCCTGCCTTGCTTTTTATTCTTATTTCCTGCCTCTTCTCGTCTCCTGAAGTCAGTGCGATGTTAAATCATCTTTTCCCACTTACTATGCTCTCTCTTATCTCTGGATCTTCACCCATTCCCTCCCTCTTTGAGATCTGGAGTTTTCATCATTACTTGTTTGTAGTGGCCTTTTCTGTTCCTCCACGCTCCACTTTCTGAGTTAAGTAAACTTAATATATGCACTCAAACCTTTAGAGCATGCATTTGAATCCAGGAAATTTCCTTTAAAGCTTCTGCTGTTAAGATCGCCACTTGCTCATAGTACATTCTATGGAAAAGTTCCCTAAAAATCTCTGAATCTTAACTGTTTCATGGGTGAAATGGCAAAATGTTCTCTGGTTGGCTGTGAGAAAAACATGACATGTATACATGTATTGAATAAAATATTTACCAGGTAATATGTAGTTAGTACGTGTGGTAGTAATAATAACAATAACAACAGCAAATATTTTCTGTTTATTTGTGTTTATCTCCCACTAACCTATGGGTCTTTGAGGGCAGAGACCATGTCTGTGTTGTTTGTAATCATATTTTGTGCATATTTAATCAGTGAATGGATGAGGTATTTTTGTACCACAGCCAGGCCAACCAGTCTTACCATCCCAGCCAGTTTGCATGTGGCCCTTATGCTGCTCTAATTAGCAGAAGCAGCTCTTGGGAGAGATGGTCCTCACACTTTCAGATGATGCACAATGTGTGAAAATGTGGTGCGTTTGGGATACCTTTGGTACCATAATCTCACAGAGAGTGTCCTGGGGTGGGATAAATTGACAGGAACAGTCTTGATGCATTGAAGTGAGCAGGCTTTAACAGATATGTGAAGACCAACCAAAAAAGCAGCAGCTTATCATCATGTATTCCGAAGCCTGAGGTCCAGATCTGGAGTTTTATGAGCGTTTGCTGCCTGTAAATTGCTATTCTTACATACCCACAGGTCTTTCATTTGTAATGTCAAGTTGGTTACCTGAACAAGCCATGTGCAAGAGTGTGTGTTTGAGTGTGTGTGATCCAAATAACAGGATGAAATGAATGAATATAGAAACGCAGTACTCTGCCTTTCAAGATCATGAGGGCTCTGGATTTTGCTGAGATTTGCTAAAAATAAATTTCAGAAGAAAGAGGAAGCACACGGTGTTTGCTAAGAGTTTTTTCAGGATGGAATCTTGGGAACTTTTCACTCAGCTTGCAACTGGGCTTTATTATAGTGTTTTCAGATAGTCGTATATAGTTGAGGATGCTGTGAAGTAAAAATGGTTTTAGTTATTGTACACTTAATATGCCAACTTCCATTTTTCTCTATTTTTCAAATAGATCATCTCAGATTCTAAAACCAATTCTGCAGGGTAGATGTTTTATCCCCATATTAGAGGCAAAGTAACTGAAGCTCAAATAAATGTGTTAATTTCTCCAGTTTATATAGTTAGAGAGACCTGAGTCTTAGCTTTGTGTTTTTTCAAAAACCTATGCTTTTCCCTTCTCCCTCAGTTATTTCTAAACACAAAGGATCATCAAAACCTGGGAGTACGATACGATTTACTAATCAGAGGCTATTGATAAATATAAGGAAAATGTGGTGCAAATAAGTTCTAATATAAGTAATAGTAGCAGCATTTTGAATGTCTTAATTTTTAATAGCAAAAATGTGATGGGCAAGAGTGACACATACCAATACCTCTGTGTCTCAGGAATGCCTGTGTATGAATGGAAACATCCATGAATCATATTTTATTCAAAATTTTCTTTTTTTAATAAAAATGCTAATGGAAATGTTAAAATGCACATAAATTAAAATGCTCATAAATTAGGATTAATATCATATTAATGAATTATAATCCTACATTCATTAAGATAAAGTGGCATTTCAATATTTGCTCTTGTTAATAAGTTCAATACAATAAATGAAAGGGATACATTTTGAGATTCAGTAAGTATTTGATGTAATCTTATGCTTTAGCTTTTTAAAGTATTCAAAAGTAAAATAGGAGCTCTAGATGCATTTGGATGCTTTGTTGCTGTTTTATGTCTTTTAAAAAATCTTTTCATTTATTGAGGCACTAAATGCAATTTAAATTGGCAAAGAACGCAATCACTGAATGAAAGTGATCCCAAGAGAATGCAATGTCTTTTGAGCTTCTAGGAGTTTCTTTGCACAAGACTTTTTTTTCAATATATACATATGTATATTTTTTAAGGAGCAAGTGTTTGAAATCTCATGATGCAAGAACTATAACTATACTGGCATTTAAGTAACTGGATTAAGCTGAAAATATGCACATTTGAGCAGTATTTTGCAAATATAATTCAATTAATTTTCCTTTTAAAAATACAAACTAAAAATATATATATTCTTGTTTTATTTTAGTTTTTTTAATAGGAGTCAACATAGTATAAAAAAGAAGCACCCTGTATCAGGAGTCTCCCTCTAAAGAATAAACTGTGAAAATTTGAAAGCCAGGGATTCTGTTTTCCCCAGTACCTACTAAAATGTTTTAGGAAGAGTAGATGTTCAATAAATATTTGTTGCCATGATCTAAGATGGATCTGGATCCCTACTGCGAAGTTTTCATTTCTCTAAGAAGTCCCATTTCTGGAAAATGTGCTCCCATAATCTGGCCTCAGTCATCTTTGTAAAATGGGAATAATTTTCCTGGACCAGAAGAATTGTGTAAATCAAAGGGGAAAAAAAAGCCTTACATAAACATAAGATCTTAATATATATCAGATTATTAGAATTATTTCTGTTTTTATGAATATAGCAGCCAGATCTGAGTTGAATTTTAGGTCTACTGAGCTTGATTCCATCAAATGGAAACCTTGAAGATATTATAATATGCCTTGTCAAACTTCCCTTTTCTCATGTTTCATATGATATATTCTAACTCAGTGACTTTTGGAAGAATTACGGGGATTATCATATGAGAAGTGATTCATATAGTTCTTGGCACACAGATAGTAACCCATAAAAGGTAACTAATAATAATAACTTTAAATAAATGTATTAACAAATTAAAAAGCATACATGTATTTTTGTATTTTCTCCTGGTCTTTTTATCATTGTAAATGCATATCAGTTTATACTAAACAAGTAAATGTATGAATAAATGGAAAGAATACATATATTTTAGTGTTTTCTCCTCAATCTTTTTATCATTGTAAATGCATGTCAGTTTATACTGAACAGGCCAGAGTATATTTTTAAAGTGTTCAAACATATTTGTCTGACTTTCATTATATTTTACTTGATATGCATACAGTTGCATAGACTCTTTGTACAGCTACTGTTAGCAGACATTGATGAAGTTACAATCAATGTAGAAAGAAACAACTTTATATTGAAACATGAGGTAGTAAAACATACTTTGCAAATTGCCACATCACTAACCAATGTCCCTTTTCGTTTTAGTTACATACAGACCTGGATCCTGGGAGCAAAAAAATCAAATATATCCTGTCAGGCGATGGAGCTGGGACTATCTTTCAAATAAATGACATAACAGGAGATATCCATGCTATAAAAAGACTTGACCGAGAGGAAAAAGCTGAGTACACCCTAACAGCTCAGGCAGTGGACTGGGAGACAAATAAGCCTCTTGAGCCTCCTTCTGAATTTATTATCAAAGTTCAAGACATCAACGACAATGCACCAGAGTTTCTCAATGGACCCTATCATGCTACCGTGCCAGAGATGTCCATTTTGGGTATGTATGCTTCCAATTTCACAGAACTATTAAGAATCATCTTTAAAATAGCTCCTGGCATCAGGGATAGTGTGTGGCTGAATAAAAGACATTTATTACCGTCTTATCTCTAATTTGCATTTCCAAATCCCCTTTTTTGGCCTCACTTCCACAGCTCAATAGCTTTAGTCCCTTAGTAATAGGAACTGACGAAGCAGTTTTATTAAAATATCTATCCTTACACGACAGTGCTTCAATAGGCTGAATTTGTATTCCTCTCATAGACTGTAGTTCGAGTATTGTTACTGAGGCGGATTTATCAAGATTTGTTCCAACATGCCAGACTAATCCTATTGATATTTTCTTGATGTTTAATTATTTGTTTGTATATATTCACATGCAGATGCAGCACACAGAGAAACAGAAAACCGTCTAGGTCTGTAGTCAGCCAGATATTGGATTGAGCTGGTGGGTCGAGTCTAGAGCGAATTAGGAAATCACAGTTACCAGAGGCTTGGATCGAGTCTAGAGTGAATTAGGAAATCACAGTTACCAGAGGCTTCTGAGCTGTGGGCATCGTACTTTAACCGAACTTTTTAAAGGAGCATTGCTATCACCAAGGACTCACTCCCACTTTTTCTGAGCCATTGAAATATTCATTATACTTTACAGAACAGAATATATTTCAAAACATGATTTTCTACTTTTTCCTCCCCTTTTTGGATTTGTTTTATCCCCAGACTCTGGCCTCGATAAAGGAAACCCCTGACCCCAGACTTTATAATAGAATAAAAGGTATTTTAGAGCTCTTCCTGGTCTGACAAAAGTAGTACGTAGGATCCAAAATCCAGGGGATTAAGATCACTAAAGTCATTCCTAAGTGTGCAGTGGATGTAAGGGATACCCTAGTTTGTTTCAAATTGCATTTAAGACAGCCTATAAGGATACATGCTATGCAGCAAAATCACATAAATTAACAGCAGGTGAACAAGATGTGATAAATAAAAAAAACACAAGTGGAGATATAAATTGAAGGCCAAAATTAGGTAAATAGTTTGGCTTCATTTGATCTCTTCTTTCTTAACCCACAGTATAACTTTGGTAGATACACCCATTACAGCAGCAAATCAGAACTGACCTCAGGTCTTCACATTTTACCCATGTATTTCTCCTGCCAAGACTCCCCTTTTCTATCTCTTTTGTGAGGAATCCTATTATTGTTTATTTTTTCCTTCTTATCATAATCAAATCACTCCTCTATGGCTGGCTGAAATGACACTTTTTCTAGGGAAACTTCTAGGTCTTTCTAGCAGGAATTTATCTCTCTACCATCACTATTACCACAGAAAGAAACCCACAAACAAGCAAAAACACATTCATGTTTGTACTTGTTTTAAATTCTGACATGTAAATAGGGACTAAGAAATACTATATATTTTTTTCTCTCTTTTTATTTTCCTCTTATTTGATCAACTTATTTAGGCCAGAGAACTTACCTAATCCATCTTTTCATTCAGGTTTGTGTAAGATGGTTTTAAAGGACTATTACCAGCTGTAATACATACAGAACACTTAATCTTAATTGCTAATGAATGAAGAACAGGAAAGCTGCTATTTTTGCCTCATTATTATGATTTCTACATCTTAATGGCCAAGTCTATATCTATTTATTGTAAATGTGTCAGAGGCTTCCATTCCTGTGTGTATGAGTTATGTGCCTGATAAGTATGTTGAGAAAAAAAAAAAAAAAGCCCCCAAACGTCTGCAAACTTCAAGGTCAATTTCAGCTAAGACAAAGAATTTAAAGATATTATTAGCTACATAACGCAATGTGTATGTGCACCTATGCATTTTTCCTCTATCTAAAGTATTTTTCTTGATAAGAGTGTAGCAACTAAAAGAAATAATCTACACTAACTTTACACAGTTATTTTTAAAAATGCTTAGCTTGTGACATCTCTTCTAAAAACCACATGGAATATGCTGCAGTTGAAAGTGTGGGTTTTGAAGTTAGGTGGATGAAATCTTGAATCCTGGCTCTATCCCTTATTATCTGGTTGACTTTGAAGTTCAAGGAGGTTAAACTGTTTCTTGTTTTCCTTAGCTACAATGCAAAATAACAATTTCCATCTTGCTTTCATTGTTTGAGAACCGCGTGATAAAATACAAAGTCAGGGTGCGCCATGAAGTAAATAAGTGTTCAATAATTGGTTGTGGTTTTAAAACTGATTTTTATTAATCGATTTCCCATCGTACCTTTGGACCTTTCCTCTGTATCGATTATACAGAGGTGTCTGGTTTCTGTTTGACTCCAGCCTCTCTGGTTAAAGGGAGGCAGAGGCAACTGCACTATTTTATTGTCAAGTGTGAATTATTCCCTTCATTTCCATGAAGGTGAATATCAGGATGAAGGTCGGCTCCTATCTCCTTTCTCTCCCCATTACCACTGTTCTCTCCCAGCCTGTCTCTTCCCTCCCCTCCTTCCTTCTTTCATTTTTCTTCCTTTGCTACTGCAGAAATGCCAACACCTGCACCTGTACACCCTGAAGAATGCCAGCAAGGACTGGGGGATTTCATTGTGCAGAAAGTGAAAAGTAAAATTCTAATTGAGAAATTTACCAATATTACATTGAAATGAATGTGATATTCAAGAACCGTCTGCCAGTTGACAAGCTGTCAGGACAAAACACACATATATATTTGCCCAAATGGCAGCCAAATTATTTTAGAAATATCATATTTGGAAGCTGTAGACAGAGCTCTTTTATATTCTACTGTGAATTTCAGAACTTGATGAGAATTCACTTTTATAGCAATACCACATAAAGAGTGATGTGCAAGCTTGTCTGGTTTTTACTGTGGATCCCAAACTAGCATCGTTGAAGTTGGTTTTTCAGTGAAAATGTGCCTACACTTATTAAATTCCAGGCACTTTAAATAGATAATTTTTTTTGCTACTGGATATTAGAGTGAAGGATACTTAACCTTGATTGTGTGTCCACACCTGGATTCAGGTAAAATGAACTTGGTATTTAGCTTCAAAGTAGAATCTCAGATTACTTGACTGCAGATTTTCTACTTGTGTTAGTGACATGACCCATCTAAGCCTCATCTTCTCTATCTGTGTAGTGTGCACAAGCATCCCTACCTAAGAAAGTATGTTTGGAAAAATTCAATGATTATATTTAAATAACTTGGCATAGCATAGAGTTGGTGCTCAATTGATATTAGTTTCTTTACAAACATCCATTTTCAAGCTACTTCTGCTAGTATGATTCAATAAATTGCGTATAGGATATGAATGCCTTGGTCAATGAAAAATTGCTCGACAAGGCTTAACTTTATGTTTCGCAGTTGTACATGTTGGAATGAAGCCTATTTTATTCAAAAGGGCATATTAGTGAAGATGGGAATAAAAGGATCAGAAAGCCAAGTAGGGCTTAAGCTGGTGGGCATGATTGCATTGTTGAGTACACAGTTATATAAAACACAGCACTGGTGGTTTTCTGAGTTTTCTTTGAGATTCAAGGCTACTCTCATGATGATCAATATGTATTAAAAAGTTGCTATATCCCCAAAGCTGTGTTAAATGCTTGCAGTATTCACAACAATCCTACATTAGTACCGATGTTAACTTCTCTATTTCTCTTTATTTTTAATCAGAAAAAATAGGGGAAATAATAGCTAATCCAAATCCAGATATTAAGTGGGAGAGCGGATTTAAATTCAGACATCTGGCTCTTCCTCCCATGGGTTTAACCAGTATGCTGTACTAATTTTTGATAATATCTCTAGAGAGTTTTGTTTATATATGCCCTATGGTTCTGCTGCCTATTTATAATAGTTACTATTTTTCCAAGGTGGAAGAGCTCTTGAGGTCAGCATACTTTGCAAATTAAATTGAGGAGCTGAGACAGGAGTTGGACAAAGAGAAGTTTGGGTGAAGTATTACACAGTGTTTAAATAGGAATATTATGCACATTAAAAATGTAAGAACAATACATCACATAGAAATTCAAATCACAGTACAATTAATTGAGAGCCATGTGGTGACTAACTGGGGCTGAAGTGCTGTTAATATGTTAAAGATAAAAACTACAGAGAGTAACCGGGATTGACTCTGGATTTCCTGGTAGTGAATGCAAAAAAAGAAAGCACTCTCCATCAAAAAATATTAATCAAAAAATCAGAAGGTCAAGAGATTACTTAGTAAAATATATTTTGGAAAGGCAAGTCTCACTGCTTTCCAAAGGCTCATAACTGAAGAGGTCGAGGCTGTCAGTACACAGTATGCAAGTGAACTTACTCTACTTGAAACAGTAACTCAGCCAAAAGGAAAATGCCAGCATTTGAAAACAGTTTGTGTTGTCCCTTCTATGTGTCATTCTCACTCTCCTGTCTTCTCTTACCATTAGTAGTATGTCTTTTCTTTGTAATTTTGTTCTTTTATGGTAAAAGTCTTCAAATCCTCTTTTGGAGGAAGGCCCATATAAAATACATTCTATTTCTTTTGTGCTGTTCATTATCTTTAATTTGGAATAAATTTAATCTTAGAGAAAAGTTGCATTTGTAGTCCAAATGTATTTTTCCTGAACTATAAGTGAGTACATTGCTGCGATGATGCCCCACTACCATGAGATAACTCAGTCAGCCTTTGCCACATGGGTGTTTTCTCTACACAAGCACAATACAGCCATCAAAATTAGGAAATTAATAGTGATACACCATTGCTATTGGATGCACAGACCTCAGTCACATGTCTCCATTTGTCCCAGTAAAGTCTTTTTATAGTGAAAGGATCAAATCCAGGACCCCACATGCATTACCTCAGTACCTCCAACTCTAAAGCAACACCACAGGGTTCATTCTAATTGTTTCTTTTTCTCCAACAGTGAGAACCCTGTGTCTTTACACTCAATATATTTGTTATTTGGATCATCCCTCACTGCCGTAGTAAGTGATTTCCATTTGCTCCCTCTGCCCATCCCCTGACTCCCTGACACAAATGTTTATCTGCTGTT